TCCTGCTGGGAAAGGCTGAGTTTTGAATCTGGCTTTAGAGGTTTTACCACTGTAAAACTGAATTAGGAAGCAGAATTAATTTGCCCTTCCAAGGGGAAGCTCTTTCTTAAAGACTTGCTGTTCATTCCTTCCCCTGCTCCCCGGTGTAGCTACAGTTGATCTTCATTCTTGCAAAGACAGGAGTAGGAATGTCTTGTGAGATTCCTTCTAGCCCTGTGATTGCTTTGCTGACCTACTTTGTCTCCACGTAACAGCAGTCCACTGATGATGGTCTGCTGGGTCAGTGACACACTTTTGATTAAGGAATTGAGCAGGGATTAAGTCTGCAATGAACTCTGTGCATTTTAGTTTGCATTTGCAGCAAGTTATGACCCTCTTACATTAAGTTTTGGTGTTAGCTGAGGGTTTTGCTATGTTGCTCTTTGTAGAAAGACAAAGTGCAGTGTTACTCTATGGAAATCTCAGTCTCTTCTGGCTGTGGATGGAGGCTGGTTCATGTAGTTCATGTTATTTACTGCTTGTCTGTAATTTGGTCCATCAATGTATTTCACATATATTCATGTAAACTACCTTGCGGTGAACAAGGGAGAACGTGTTGAAGTGGGGTTTCTGGAGTGCTTTGAAGGCTCATTATTTAAAAGTAAATTGAAGGACCTACTTCTGAGTGTCTCTTCATCTGTAATTCAGTGAGAGCTCAGCCTCAGGAAAGGTTGGACCCCAAGTGTTCAGAACGTACCACAGAAACAGGAGTAGTGTGAAAGCGATGTGTGAAGCTGGGCTGCTAATTGCTGCCGCATTTTAATGTGTAGTATTGATATGCATGATGCAAGAAAAACTATGTTATGCTGACCTTACCAGGGGATATTGGGAGAACCTGAAAGCTGGGAATGTGGGATGTGGTTTTGAGCAGGAAGAACAGAGAGTAAAAGCTCTTGATGTTTTCCTGAATGGGGTGGAACAGTGAAGACTTTGTTACTTACAAGGTGGCATGAGGATCAAAACCAAACTGAATGGTAACACTAGGTGATCATCACAGAATGGTTTGTGTTGGAAAGGACCTTAAAGCTCATCCAGCTCCAACCCCTGCCACGGGCAGGGACACCTTCCACTAGAGCAGGTTGCTCCAAGCCCCTGTGTCCAACCTGGCCTTGAACACTGCCAGGGATGGGGCAGCCACAGCTTCTCTGGGCACCCTGTGCCAGCGCCTCAGCACCCTCACAGGGAACAGCTTCTGCCCAAGAGCTCATCTCAGTCTCCCCTCTGGCAGGTTCAAGCCATTCCCCTTGTCCTGTCCCTACAGGCCCTTGTCCAAAGCCCCTCTCCAGGTTTCCTGGAGCCCCTTTAGGCACTGGAGCTGCTCTAAGGTGCCCTCTTCAGGAGCCTTCTCTTCTCCAGCTGCCCCAGCCCAGCTCTCTCAGCCTGGCTCCAGAGCAGAGCTGAACCAGCCCCCATATGTGATGACTTTGATAAATAATGAAAATGCTGAATTAAATTGTATCTTAACTGATATTTATTCTGATAAAACCATCTCTCTTACAAAAAAGAGGTGTTGCTTGAGTTACTAGGGAAATGGTTGGACTCTTAGACAGTTATGTTTTGAGAAATGGACACTAAACTTGAAGAAAGGAGGAGATGTGCCAGAAGATTTAATAGGCAGATGGAGAATGTTTACAGCAAAGAACTTAGTAGTATCTTCTTTGCCTTCACTGAAAATTGGATTCATGTTGTATGCCAAAATACTGGATTGATTTTTGGAAAATGTGCAAATAAACTTCTGATTGTGGTTAATAGGATTCTGTGTTTGTTCCTGTTACACCTCAGTTAGATTTCCACTACAGGTAGAAAACGTGTACTCAAAACCATTTACTATGAAAGCAGTTTGGTTTGTAAGTGCTCTCTCCTTTCCCTCAGCTAAAGGAATAACCAGAAATCTTAAGGAGCTTGGATTTAGCTATAGTTTTGTGATCTTTTTGGAATTCCTAGTGAAGTAAATGTGAGAAAGGGCTGATCTGTGTTAGAAGCTGCCAGTTACAGTGCCAGATTTAATTCAACTTTTGACATCTTGCTTGTAGGTGAAGGAGAATCTGCTCTCGTGTAAGATGCTGCTGCACTGCAAGCGGGATGAGCTGCGCAAGCTGTGGATTGAAGGGATTGAGCACAAGCATGTCCTGAACTTGCTGGATGAGATAGAGAACATCAAGCAAGTTCCTCAGAAGCTGGAGCAGTGCATGGCCAGCAAGCACTACCTCAATGCCACAGACATGCTGGTAAGATGTGGTACCTTGTGTTGGGAACACACTGGTTGGCCATGTGGTTGTCTGCAGCCAGATCTGTGTGTGCTGCTGTTTGCTGTGTTCCTGCTTAGTTTCCTCTTTTGTCACTTGCTGCTTTCCTGGACTGGAATTTCCATTTGGCTTTGTTCTGATCCTTCCTGACTGGACCTTGGGTTACAGTCTACCATCCTCTTTGGTCTTTCAGAGCTGTCTTTACCTGTTTGTGTCCTGATCCTGATGATTTCTGTAACTATCTAGTTCTTTACCCACGGTAATAGGATTCCTTCTGCTTCTGTGATTCAAAACTGAAGGCAAAAGTAGTATGTCTGCTCCTATTCCTCTTGTGTTTGCCAGAGAATGCCTTTAAGGAAATCTTCTCATTGCCTGATTTTGTTACTGTGTTTTTCAACTTTACTGTCCTTTCTATTTTGTGAGCTGTTCCTTTGGATAAGCTATTCAACAGGAAAAAGACCTGGAAATCTTAGTTGCATCACCCCATAATCCTAGAGCCCGGACTTGAGCTTGATTTCCCTTCTTTCCATTTTATCTCATTTTACCTTAAAAATGACCTTCTACAGCTTGTTCCCTCTGAAACCTTTTCAGCAGTTTGGTATCAGTCTCCTCATCCCATTCCCTGGCATGTGTATCCTTATCTGGATTTGTGGTTGTTCCTGTTACACCCTCTTGACTGATTTCACTCTCCATCACCTTCCTGTTGGTTTCTCTTGCTCATGTTCTCTTTTCATGCCACACCTGGTGCAGGTGCCTTCCTATAATCTGATCACAATTTTCCCTTTCTTCCTTCTTAAAACCATCCTTCAGGAACCCTCTGAGTTTTACTCTCCTCAGAGTCTCACTGTCCTTTTAAATGAACTCTTGTCTTGCATCTTCCATGGGTAATGTATCCAGTGCTGTTGTGCAGAGTGGAATTTTTATGATACTATATAAAATGTTTCCTATATGTAAAACCTATTGGAATTCCTGAAAGCAGATCAGCAGCGGAATGGCTTGAAGCAGCATGTGGGAGAGTGCAGTCAGGTTTGGCCAAAACTTTCCTCAGGTTTCTAATACAGGGAATTGAAGTGTGGTGTTTGGTATATTCAGTTACAAGAGCTAAAGAAGTAGAAGTAAGTAAAGGGTGGTCAGTGTAGGGGGAAACCCAGAGTATTCAGAGTTAACTTCAGTGTTAGTTGAAGTGTTGGTGCTTTCTTTTACTGAGGGACTTGCCTGTCTGCTTGGTTTGGATTTGCTGTTATTTAATTCCAAAAAGGTTCTTTATTGGAATAATAATTATTGGACTAATCTCCCCAGGGAAGTGGTCGATTCCCCTATGCTGAACACTGTTAAGATTTGGCTGCACAGGGTGCTGGGACATCTAGTCTAGGTCATGCTTTGCCAAGAAAGGTTGGACAAGATGATCCTTAAGGTCCCTTCCAACCTGGCATTCCGTGCTTCTGTGATTTTCAGAAGGAAATTACAGAGAAGTAATTAATTTCCTTTCTGGAATGAAAATAAGAAGTGTAAGAAGAAAAATAACAGTACTTTATAGAATCCGAGACTGATTTGGGTTGGAAGAGACCTTTAAGCTCCCCCAGCTCCAACCCCTGCCACGGGAGGGACACCTTCCACTAGAGCAGGTTGCTCCAAGCCCCTGTGTCCAACCTGGCCTTGAACACTGCCAGGGATGGGGCAGCCACAGCTTCTCTGGGCACCCTGTGCCAGTGCCTCAGCACCCTCACAGGGAAGAGCTTGTTCCTTATCTCCAACCTGAACTTCCCCTGTTTCACTTTGAACCCATCACCCTTTGTCCTATGGCTACAGTCCCTGATTAAAACTATGATAAATACTTAGGATTTATATATACATGCTTTAGAAATGGTTTGCAGTGTGTGCAACTGATGTTATTGACTTGCAGTGTATTGTGTGTGCAGGTTTTTTACATCTATACTTACGTGTCAATAAGGTTACTCAAGGCCACCTTAGAGCCAATATTAGACCTCACTGAGGTGAAGGCTTCTGTAGCACACACTGTGCTTTGTTTCTTGGTTGTTTGGTGGTGGTTTTGTTTTACAGAATAGAGTATCTTTTGTAAGAAATCAAATGATAATGATCTAAAAGGCAGCTGTGAGTTTGTTTGGGCTTTTTTAATATATCAAGGAATGCAGAGAGACCTGAAGTGAAAATTGAAGGTGCTATTTCAGCTCTTCCTTGACACTTGCAATTCTCATTTGAAGACAAGTGTATTTGTAATAAAGACACAGTCACCTGCCTGCGTTTGGAGCTTTGTCACAGGCAAGGGTGGCTTTTGCCATCTCCCTTTAACACTACCTTTGCAAGACAGTGATGTTGTAATCACTCACTGCCTGCAGCGTAATTCCTTCCTCCTTCCATCTGATATGAATAATACGTGGAAGCATTACTACCCTGTCAGGGCTGCAGAGTGTATATAGATCTCTGTCCTTTTGTTTCATTCCTCCAGGTAAACAGATGCTCGTAGCTTATAAAAAGCCCAAAGTGATGTGACAAGGAGCTTGTATCCCTCTCATTGAAACTGGAGCACTGATTAATACCATTGCCTGTAGCCTTGCGATACGTACAGTCCAAATGAGACCTTTGCTTTGGGTTGATGCAAGCGCTCTAATGGCATCATTTCTGCTTGCTGCAGCCTGTCCTTTGTATTCCACTCACATTAATTGAAGTAATTTTGTCACTGAAGCGTGTTCCAAACCTCTGCATTTAAATTGAAGTTTTAATTCCCTTATTGTTTGCAGAAGACAACTGAAGATGGTTTTGTTACAGGTTTCATTAGCACTCCAAACTCTCCAGCTGTTGGTTCTAATGTGCGGTGACTGAGTAATGCTGGCAAGAATTGTTAATAAAAGAATGGCAGCTATTCCCAGTAGGATGAACACAATCAGAGGTAGTTTGTGACAGCTTATATTTGTAGGAAGGTAAAAATTTGAAGTGGCAGGTTTTTTGTTCCCAATTCTGTATCCACAGATGAGCTTTAGATATCACGGATCCACGTGCTGTGTTCCTTAAGCATCTTGATAATGCACGCTCCGGTGAGCAGAGCTGGTAGGAGCAGGTTACCTGTTCTGTAATTGCATCTTACACAGGTTGTGTTAAAAGGAACATTAGTTCCAACCTTCCTTGGAATTGTGAAGCTTTGGGGAAATTAGGAGGGTCTGAAACAGACAGAACTCTTGGTTGAGATCAGAGATATTTCAGTTACTTTCTGTATATACTTTTTTTGAATTATGAGTTTTTACGTTTTTATGTCAAGGATCTGTTTTTTTACACATGAAATTGCTAAAAGTTCACTTCCATGTAGCAGTGAAGTGCACATGCACACTCATGTGTGTATTTTCTCTTTAACATAAAAAGGGGGCACAGGGTAGAGAGATTTTCTCGCTCTCTACAGCTGCCTGAAAGGAGATTGTAGTGAGGTGGGGTCAGTCTCTGCTTCCAAGGAACAGGGGATGGCACAAGAGGAACTGGCCTCAAGCTGCCCCAGGGCGGGTTTAGCTGGAGCTGAGGAACAATTCCTTGCCCAGAGGGTGCTCAGGCATTGGAACAGGCTGCCCAGGGCAGGGCTGGAGTCACCGTCCCTGCAAGTGTTCCCAGCCCGTGGAGCCGAGGCCTCAGTGCCAGGGGTCGGTGGTGTCCTTGGCAGGGCTGGGAATGGTTGGGCTGGATGAGCTTAAAGGTCTTTTCCAGCCTAAATGATTCTATGGTTGGGTGCTGAGAGGAGAATTCTGACTCAGAAGGAGCTTCCCAAGGGAAGGCAATGGGCAATGGCCAAATGGGAGAGCACAGAGCTGGTGGCAGAGGTGATTTGGGCTTGAGGGTGTAGCTTGCACTTGGCCTGGAAACACGAGCTTGGTTGCTGGAAGGCAGCAATCTAAATTCTTCTAGAAGAGATGTTTTAGGTGTGCTACACGATGCTACAGCCAAGCCAGAACTTGAAGCAGGGGGCACTCAGCAGGATGGGCAGCAGTGGGCAAGGACTGAAGGCTTCTTGCTTGGAGGAAGCAGTTCATGGCTGGTCTCCCCCAACACTGGGCCATATGTTGAAGGGCAATATGCTCTGCCTGGCAGTTACTTAACTCAAGTATCAGAGAGGGCTGTGGGTGTTGATCTAATTGTTCTGACTCTACTGCTGACCCGTGAGGTGCCCATGGGGAGAAATTAATATTTTCCATTTGTTTAAATAATCGAAGGGATGAAATGCTTAAAAACAGTTGAAGGAGGAAATGTTGTTAAATCCAATAATTAAAGGTCATATCATAATATGATTAAATGAGAATTGCTGAGGCTACTTTCGTTGCATTTCCTGGCTTTTATGTGTCTAGCTTTGCAGTTTAATGAACTAACAGTACTTTTGACAAAGCATATCGAGTTTTAGAAAGTCTTCCCATTCCAACAGACCATGAAACACTTTAGTCTGAACTTGATTTATTAGAGCAGGGGAGTAGAGTTCCTTTGGGGTGGGATTGTGTCTGGTAACAAAGCACCATGGAACTGCAGAAATGGATCCATGGGGGATAGGAGTGAGGATAACTGCTCTTTCCAGCTGAAATCTTCTTTGTTAGGAGGATGACAAGAATGAAGAATGAAGCTGGGGAGAAGGAAGTGTGGAGCCCTTGGACTAGACTTCACTTAACTTCACACTTCCTTGTGTTAAGAGCTAGGAACTTACTCATATGTGTGTGTTACTCATGAGCACATCCTTCTCCTTTAGCCTGCCTGTCTTTGTTCCAGGGAATACAAAGCTGAAGTGACAGTACCTTGGTTCTCAAGAAGTAGGCCAGGGAATGCTCCACGACCTACTTCTCTTTCCTATTCAATGTTAAGAACTTAGGTTTCGGTTTTCTTATGTCAGGCAAAGAATTAATGTCTCCTGCTCTGCTTACCGAGGTGAGTAACAGCATCAGGCTTTTCTCAGAGCAGATCTGTGTTGTTGCCAGTTTATTCACATTATAGAGTCGAGC